GGATCTGTGATCAAACAGAAGAGGCCAACACTACCAGCAACAGTGACTATAAACCCTCCTTCACATCACATTTATTCCTCCTACTGATGTGGCCAACAGCCTGTTGACTGGGATTTCTGTGTGCAAACAGCCACTTAGAAAGACAAGGGCATTGTGTTAAAATAGATGAAAATAAAAGATGGACTCATTATGTTCATTTCAGTAAGTATTCAGACCCCTTTTTGCACTTTATGGTGTTACATTTTAAATGCATGATTGCCATTTTTGTCCATCAGCGTGTGCTAACTAACTGATATTGACAAAGCAGTTGTATGCAAAAGTTTGGACACCCCTGGGAAATAATGCATTTGTTAAATGTTGATATGCTGCTACTTTTGCTCTGTTTGCTGCAGGTTTTTGTTTGTTTGTTTGTTGTTGTTGTTTTCACATTTAAAATCAACAACGTATGGATTCTCTCCAGGGCTGCCGAAACCTTTACAACTGTGTCCATTGAGGTAATGTTGTACTGCATTGAGCTGTCACACAACGGAGACACCAGAAATCGATGTGCAGGATGGAAAACATGAGCGCCACAAATTGCAGTGATTTCCTTTGGAACAGTGCACTACCACTTACCTCCTTAACAATTTGTCGTAGGCCTCCATTATCTTTCTCCGTATCTGCATCAAAGCCGCATCTCAGTAGTTTCCTTTATCTTTTAGAGGTCTGCAATTACTTTGATTAATTTGCAATGTTATATGGGTCAAATGAATGTGTTTTAATTACACAAAAAAAAAGAAAAAATGGTTGCTGTCATCCGTGTTTTGGTCAATAATATTCAATTCAATTTTATTTGTGTAGTGCAGTTTACAACACATGCTATCACACAGCGCTTAACATAGTAAGGTATGGATCTTACACATGTAACAGAGAACCCAACAATCCTTTGGACTTCCTTTGAGCAAGCAGTTGGCAATGGTGGTTATAAATGTATGGAAGAAAGAGAGAAGATGTCTTCACCTGTAGCTACCTACAACTAACTTGTTTCACTCTTTGGAATTTTTAAAAAAAAGGATTCAAAATGCAGTTTTGCTTGTTCCATAAACCTAATGTGTCATTTGACAATTTTCAAAGTTGTGCCGAACCCCCTAAAAGCCTGTTAATTAGCCAAAATGTGGCTGTCAACATTTTTCACCATCAGTGATTTGAGTCATTCTTCAGTCAGAATTAACAAACACTCTTGACTTTTTCTGTTTTTATATAATAGTCCTACTTTCCAACATTTATTACATAATTACACTTTGAAAAATAATTGATAGAGAAAAGAATTATTAAACTGGGTTAGTTTCCTAAGAGGTGGTTCAATTTTTCTTTTAAAGACAGTCGCAAAAATCGTGACCATCAAACGTTTTGCGATGCACGTCAGTGTTACTGAGTGTAGCGTTGAGTTATTTTTACAGAATTAGGTCAAGAAAGCTGTTTTTATTAGAATTTAGTATCCATCACTCTAGTTTTGAATCAGATCGTGAGTGTCGCCTGTGTTCTTTATCAGCTCTTCTCTAAGGTTAAGTCCAGAGTACCTACAGTCAACACTGATTGTTATCCTAGTTTTTAAAGTATTTGATAGTTGGTAACAGTATAATACACTGTTGGGACTGAGCAGCTGAGGTATAAGTGCTGCTGGATTTCATAAATGTAAAATCAGGCTGTAACTTCACCTTATGAAATTGCCTTCAACCTTCTGACCAGCGTTTATAGCGGTTAAAAAGAAACCTGCTGTCAGTGTTAGGATGGGCTTTCCACATGTCTTTATGCAAGCTTATTCTCACTTCTAACAAACTGCTGGAGCCTGAGACACTTATTCAGTGCCGTCACATTTCAAGTGCTAATTGTCTGAACAAAACTGAAGTCCGCCAATAAACGCTTCAAAGTTTAAATCCATTACATTAGTAGTCAGCACTCTGCATGTTCTGTCTTTTTCACGCAGGCAGCGCTGAGACCAAATTGAGCACCTTTTAAAACCGACGCTCGCCCTTTCAGAAACTCTATCCAGGCATCGTAGGAAAAGTGGCTACGGAATGAAAATGCTTTTACTGTATGACCACTTACACAACACACAAGCGTCGCATCATCCGCCAGTTCAGAGAGCGGTCGAGTGTGACGTCAGACAAAGTTAAATGCACTCTCACGAACAAGCGATCTGCTTTTTGCATTCACCACACTCACACACATACATCTGAGGCTTTAGAAGACGTGGTGGGAAGGTTGACCCACCGGTGCCATGAAATATAAATGCTTGATTTTCGTCTGCCGTTGTGGTCCGCCAGAGTTAGTGTGATGAACGGAGACTTGCTTTCTGTTTGTTTTCAGTGTGAATCCAGTGGCTGGTCTCATGCTTCTCATTGAGAAAATGTAGTGCACGCTTGCAAATGAAACACATGAAGGAACAGCTAGCGGTGCACCGAATGACTGAAATTCTGGTCCTTACGAAAAAGAAAAAAAAACACACTACCTGCCCAAGTTAAGTGACACAGGGGGTCGGTTTCCATTCAGTTTTCACATCAGTATTAAGCGTACCAATGCATAAGCATTAAAGCACGCTGATTGTTATTGCTCAGGCTTATTGTTATCATAGATTCTTCTGACACGATTTTAGGCACAGCTCTGAGAACACCCATACAATCCATACCAAATGTCAAAACATGTGTCTCGATTGATAAAAGTGTGCTTTGTCTTTTGGCAGTGATTTATCGTATGTTTTTTATGAAATTCGTCAAAAAAAAAAAAAAAAAAAAAAAAGCTGCGTTAAAAATCCCTTTTGAAATAATAGCAAGTTGGCCGGACAACTGCCAAAACCCACCATCTTTGGACCCCTGTAGCTCTTACATACTTTGCAGTAGAAACTTTATTCAAAGTTTCAACAGGTTACAAAGCGTTGAGTGTTAATCGTCTCAATCTGTGTTTTGATATCTTTGATGGTTTTTACGCTGTTGCAGTTTACATTTTATTAATTTTTTTTTTTTTTGAAAATCCTGACTTTTCCTTCAGTTAGAGGGTTCACATCATGTGTGAAATCTAAATTTTGAAAGATTTATGGAAAAAAGTGCAGTTAGCCTTGATTCACATTTTCTACTCTACTTGAACAATTTACACATTATATTAAAAAAAATAGCATTTTTGTCTTCTTTCAGCCAGGAAGGAGAAGCCACTGTTGTTCATTTGTTTGTTTCAGAGAAACAAATTATAGAAATCAGCCATACTTTAAAGAAAATGACTTCACTTACAAATCCGGCCTGTAAAAACAGCATTCATGTTTTATTACAACTTCAAAAATACTAAGATAGACAACATATCTTAATTTTGCATTCTACATCACAGTATTCCACATGAGAAAAGTGACAAAGCCTATGCAATGTAAATTCAGAGTATGTTTGTCTTCTGATGATCACAAATGGCTCAATTCACGATTGATCACTTTGTGGTGTTTTTTGGAGACATGCCAGTCCCCTTCATTTCTATCACTACTGGATTATGGTGGGATTTTATACACACATGCATCAGCAGTGACTCTTAAGCCCTAGGGTGCTGTTAATCAGACTGCATCAATATTCATTACTGGTGATTGTTATAAAACTACAGACTGTGAGCTGCATGCTCAGTTTGTGTGGCCCGCAGTCTCTGTCAGGTTGATAAGAACAGAATTTTATTCACCTCTAAGACTTTTTCTTTTTAACCTGATTACTGTATTTCATTGTGTGTCCTTAACAAACACGCTCAAATGATTGGATTCTGCTGCCGACTGTTTTTCCTGAGCTCGGAACATTACATCCAGTTTTAATCACTGAGCACCTGCAGCCTGGATGACCTGTAGAAGAAAATAAACAAAGCAGGGTTCATTCTTGTCTTTTGGTTAAATGCAATGCAGTTCAGATTTTTGAATTCATATTCATTTGCTTCAAGCTATTTTTGTTTTATTTCATTCATTAACTATTTCATTATTTCTGCTAACTTCGCCCTTTAACCCCTGTTATTTAAAATTATTTGTGTGCGTACTTCTTTTTTCTTCTAACTCAACTACATTCTACACGCGGCCTTCGTATCTCACATCTATATGTATCTCATCTTATATAAAGTGGTGCTACAGTAGAATATTAAACAAGGTTGGTTTTCTAACAGGCAGTTCTATATTTTTTTTTTTTTTCAACGAAGCAGTAATGTGACCGTGAAACTTTATCTGTGCACGTCAGCATTACTGACCTCAGCTTTGAACTAGTTTGACTAAATTAGGTCAAGACAACTATCTTTATTGGAATTCAGATTTGATGTCGTGCAGCGGGCGGTGCCATTTTGCTGCACATCTGTGTTGTATTCCGACAGTATTGGTGAGATATTTTTTAACAATGGTGTGAAAAGATTTTTTAAATTCCTTTAGTTTGACACAAACAACTCAGTTATTTAAAAAGAAGAATTCATTTGATGCAGATTTGTGTGATGTTTTAAATCATCAGCGCTAGCAGAATTGTTTTCATGCATAGTAGACAGTACTCACTAGCTTAATTGGTAACAAGAGGACTTCCAATTTTATTCAGTTCAGACAGCGATGTGAGAGGTCTATTATAGTAACATGTGGGTCTTACAAAAATAAACTGCAAATTAGTGTTCTGATTTTTTGATTTTGGGCGCAGTGGCTTAGGTTGGTGATTCAATCCCCCGCCCCTCCACAGCCGAAGTGTCCTTGGGCAAGACACTGAACCCAGAGTTGCTCCCAGTGGCGCCTTGCATGGTAGCTCTGTCAACATATGTGTGAATGAGAAAACACTGTAAAGCTTTGAGTACCACAAAGGTAGAAAAGTGCGATATAAGTGCAAACCATTTACCATTTTGGCTATTTGTGCACTTAGTGTCTGAATCATGTACTACTCAGCACCTTGAGAGGAGGGCAAACCAACACCGCTTAGTGTAGTAAGTCTGATCTGCCCCTGTGTAGACAAGATAAATAAGGAGGTTTGTTTTCTCTCCAGTATGACAGTGGCGATGAGGGCCCAGGCCAGATGGGAGGTGATGGACAGGACGGACGTTTTCTACGTTGGGATAGCTCTCATGGTGCTGGGAACTCTGCTGGTGGTCAGCAGCTTCCTCGCTCTGGGATTCACTGGAACCTTCCTTGGTGAGTATCAAAGACAGATATTAAAGTGGTACTGAACCAGTTTACGAGTCACTGGAGAAATCTTTTGTAGTTTTTAACTAGAAATCTCCTTTACAAATTTGGAGAATGGCATTTGAAAGACACGCCCATCAAACAAGGCGGATCTAATAAAAGAGCAGCTAATGCACGAAAGGTTAGAATATGCAGTTGAAGCTTGTTCTTTGCTAAACTGTTGGTGATGTACTTTTTAAACCTAAAAAAAGGTTTCCTCAACGTCTTGTTGCTATCTTCATCTGCTATTATGTGGGGGTCAACAGCGTCCTTCATTTCAAAGCTTCTTATTCGTTGTCTATTTAAGAGGCCATGCAATGTGTTCTGGTAACATCGCAAAATGCTTCAAGACACGGGGAATCACATTGTCCGCTCCTCATTTGCGTGAACTTGAGGTCGAGGCTATTTTGTACCAATCAAGGGTGTCCACTGAACCTCTCTGGAGACTCCAGTATAACGTTTAACCTTTGCTGGTATAAACTGAAGACAAATGCAGCAGCTGCATGGCTTATTTCTTTCCTCAAACATTTTTAAAAACACATTTTAAGTGTACCGTTTTTGTAATACAACCAAAAATTTCTAAACATTTTGTTGGGTGAAGACATCTAACGAGTAAAGCGTTCACCCAATCAGGTGTGTCCAATATCTTGGCGGTTGTTGGAGAGTGCAGCCTGTAAGGGTGTCCTGTTGGAGATCACCTGTCAATCTCACAAAACAAAAGAACCTTCTTTTAGTTGACTTTAGAGTCCCCCACATGCCCTCTGGGGAACTCTAATCAAGATTTATTATGAACGTTTTTCAATGGTGCCTTTCTCTTTGCCAGCCTCCCATCAAGCTTTGACTGGTGAAGAACAGGCAAAAGTTGCTCCCATCTCAGTGGCTGAAGCTTGAAACTCCTTCATAGGAGTCATAGGCGTCTTTATTCAGTGACTTGGAAATTTTCTTGTATCCATCCACTAACTTATTCATTTTTAATAACCTTTTGTAGTTAGTTGAAGCATTCTTTTGTCTTTATTGTGTAGTTATAACCAGAAGCACTGATTCATCACTGAATGGACCGTCCAGATACAGGTGTCTTTATACTACGATCACTGAGACACATTCACTACACTCAGACTATCTCCATGTTATTATTTGTGTGACTTCTACCACCAATTGGCTGCAGCTGTGTTGAACTAGGTCAGTCTTTTTCAAGGGGGTGAATATTTATGCCATCACTTTTTTTACAGTCCATAGTTTAAGTTATTACTCTGTAGGAGTGTGTTTTCACTTTAATATCAGAAGAATACTTTTTATAGGTACTACAGTATATCTCTCTCTTTTTCAATGTCTCCTATTTCATTTGTCTAAACACGGAGCAATTTCTTTTACATTTGATTCTATTTATTTTGTTTCAGCCATGCTAATGATCCTGTTCTGTAGATGGCATCAGATGCTTTTGTCTAGATTCACATATCTCTGCAGCTGTTTGATGGGTTACCATGACATTTATTATTTCTGGTTCCCAGAGAAGGAATCATAGGGATTTTGATGATTCCCGTTGTGAAATTTGGCACTTTGCTTTTGAGCTTTTGAGTTCAATGTCTCAGCAACTATGCATATCTGCATTTAGCATGCCAACACTCTTCACTAAAACAGGTCGATATTATACCTGCTGAACATCACAATGTTTGCTCTGTGATTGTGAGTATGTTAGCCTACTGATGCTGATTTAACTTCAAGCAGAATTGTGCCAGTACACAGGCTTAAAGAGCCTCAAGCACTAATGGCAAGAAGCATATTAAAACTGCTTTTACATGCAATAAGAAATCAACCTTCTTTAGATATAAATGAAGGTTGGTGATTGCATAAGACTTGGGACAGCAGAGGGGAACACTTGCACAACGAGGACATATAGTGCACATGAATATTTTTTTTTTCCAGTTTACACAACCATGCTCATTTGTATGCATGTACGCAAATATTTTCACACCTTCAAACAGAGCACGTACAGATATATGTACATCTACTTCTGAGACAAACAGGCTTGTTTTCCTTTCTTGTACTACTGAATACAACCTGGCATTGTATCAAATAAACATGAGTACAGCATCGCCATTATGACCATTTAGATGGAGCTGGTGTCGAGTTTCTAGGTCAGTTGAATGAGTCATCTGCAAGACCCAGACTGGTTCTCTCAGTTCCAGCACCGTGTTTGCCCATCACTGCACTGAAATGCCCTCAGTCCATCACTCTCATCACAGCTGAGGAGAGGCAGCAGGAGCAACAGGGGGTGACAGGAGTCGATGTATACGTGCGAGTGTGAAGGTGCCAGCTTTGTATGCACACTGAGGGAAAACCAATCACGAGAGATTGCTGGTGTGTTTCACGCTTCAACCAGGAACAACGAGGAGTCTTTAAAGCAGGGACATGAAAAATGTTCATTATTCCCAGTGGGGAACATCACTTTGCGGCGTTGAGTAAATAATTACATACAAGAGATTTGTGGGAGTGCGGTCTCTGTTTTGTATACACACTAAAGTTCTGTATCAGTCATAAACTGTTCCGGGATGTCCATTTAAAGATTTAACTAGGTCAAGTCCAGTCAATTTTTTATCTTTATATATATATATAAAGCACAGTAAAAATGCAAGAGTTGAACCAAAGTGCTGTATAATTCTAGCTTGAGACATAAACACAACATCGACAAGACAAAGCAGAATAAAAACACAATATATTAAAGAAAAGTACAACATAAAGCACAATGTACTTGGATGGCAGGATGTACTTAGATGGAATGAGAGGAGATGGGTATTCAGCAGTGACCTAAGCACAGGAAAAGGTGAACTGAGATTAGGAGCAGCTACTGTGAAGGCTATTTTTTGTCTAGATCTCAGTACATCCAAGGGCACCTGGTTGGTCGACCTCAGTGCTCTAACTGGAGTATAAAAATGTAAGAGTTTTCCGATAAAAAGTGTTGCCAACCCATTTAAAACCTCAAAAAAGGTCCATCAGAGTCGTACAGATCAATCTTTAAAATGGACTGGAAGCCAGTTGTTACCTCTTAAAAGACGAGCAACTGCAGACAATGAAGAGCCAAGTGGTGATACAGGTGTGGATAACTTTTTCTAAGTATTTAGGAGACAGATGGACTTTACTGTGGTTAAAAAGTCTTAACTGCAAAAAAAAAACAAGCTGGTCAGTTGTCTTGCTACCTTCTCACAATAGCTTTTATCATCAAAAGAAAAAAGTGTAAGATGCTTAGAATTTAGAGCGCAGTTTATCGTTCATCATTGTTGCTGTGAATGCAGGCTGTAAGTGTTATAATACTAACAAACTTGTAACTTTTTCAGTTAGCTCTGGTCAGGTTACTCAATCAACAATTACATTTTGAAGTCAGGTGCCAGATAAAGCTAAATATCAAGTTTGGCCTTTCAAATGAGAAAAAATAGTTTATAAAAGCCAATATTAGTTTTCTTTTTTAAAGCTACATGGTTTTTTGTTGTTGTTGTTTTTTGTCTGTTTTAGAATGTAGTATGCGCAATAGATACGTGTACAACACAGGTGCAGCTAGTGTTGGTTTCCTGTTAGTTCGACACAGGTCAGCAGGTGTAGAGCTGCTGTCACAGCAGGCTGGAGTTCTTTTTTCGATAGGAAAAGCCCAGGTGTAAGTGGCAGGTGAGTTTGATCGAGCTGTTTCCGTTTCAAGGTCTGAGTATTGAGGTCATTGTAACATTGTCGTGACGAACTGAAGTGACTGCACGACTGTGAATGGTATTTATAAAAGTCTGTGCTTTCCTGTTATAAAAAAGTCAAAATATTTGCTGTCTGAAAGGCACATAACTGAACAGCCTCCTTCAGCCCAACTAGCGTCACTGAGTTTATGTGACTTTTAAGTGGGTTTCATAGCATCTAAAAATGTCTGAAAACTGCATAGACTCCTACATGTTGGAGCTACCAATCATCAGTGTGGAGGACCGGCTGATCTGACCTTTTTATTGGACATTTTCGAATTGTTAGCAGTGGACTCGAAAACAGTCATCACATGACATTTTCTAAGAATGTCTGTGGCCATCTGGAGCTAATTACTGCTTGAAGAGCAGTCATGGTCCTTAGAGGATACGCCTTTTCTAATTTGGACACCAAGTTTTTCTCCAGTGGCAGGGCCGAGTATCATCAAGGAATACATGGAGCATAAATTAGCCACAACATTAAAACCACTGATAGGAGAGGTGAATAACATAGATTCATTACAATGCAGTGTTCTGCTGGGAAGCCTTGGGTCCTGGTATTAATGTGGATGTTACTTTGATATATACTCCCCACATAAACATTGTTGCAGACCAAGCACACCCCTCCATGGCAACCTCACTCCCCAACTCTTCAACCTACCTACGGTTAGAGAGATTGTTCCGCTACCCCATAAAAACTGTTCAGAAATTGCTCTAGAAACCCAACAAAAAGCTAAAGGCACTGAGACAGTCTGCAAACTCCCACCATCTCAGTTTTATCGAGCATCTGCCTGGTGCTCAGGAGCAAGGGGTTGGTTGACTTTAATGTTGCGACTGATGGGTGAATGGCGTAATTAAATAGGTATTGCAGTTTTTTCAAAACAAATGTATGTTCCCAACTGAGTAAATGTTTCAGTTTTATAACATATGGTCTTTCTTCTAACACCACTACAAAAAAGAAGCTCCAGCACTCGAATAGCAACACTTTCAGTCTGTTAAGTATTGAAGTTCAAGCTTGATCTTGGAAACAGGAAAGTACTGTTTTTGTTTCACTCACTAAGCGTTTCCAGGTTTATAACTATTGTGTCGCATGGTCTTCATCAGTGGACAAAAAAAACTGTCTCAATTGTCATGGAGATGGAGTTTGACTCTAACAATTTCATGCATACCATTTTAGGACATTTAGTCCATGCTCAGCTTAATGTTTTAGCTAACTTTGATGATGTAACCCCATTTGAAAGAATTTAAATGCATTGCCGC